ATAGAGAAATTGGGGGGGGGGTGATATCTAAGCTGTGCATGTTTATTTTGGGGGTAACCAAAATGTCCTAAAATTATGACAGAAACACAGTTCTGCAGATATCCTAAAGCATTGTGCATTTTGAGAGAACAGGATGCATGAATCATATAGTTCATGACCGTTGGGACAAAGGTAAGTCCACATCTAAAGCTAAGGGTAGGAAGAGGAGAAAGCTGAAGAGCCTCCCAGGCTAACTGTAGCTTTTCTCTCATTCTTCACAGCATGCCCAGGATAGGCTGTGCAATCATTAAGGGCCAGTCACAGGCCTAGGAACAGAAAGAAATCCTCCAGATGTGGCTACTTTTTTAAAGAAGGTGGTAGTGAGGCTCAAACCCAGGGCATGGAAGCTCTCACAACCTCTAGATCAAGCTCTGAGGCCTCCCTCCTCATGGTTACTGGCCCTTCTTCTCTGGAAAATGCCAATTTTTCAAGGGAAGTAAAACATTCTGAAAGACAAACCAGTTCCAACTTTTCACATCCTCTGTTTTTTCCACATCCTCTGTTTGTGTTTTTTGACTATTGCCATCTTAATGGGTATAAAACATTATCTTGCTGTTTTTGATTTCTGTTTCCTTTAGTAATTAATGATACTGAACATCCCTTTATGTGAGGCTTTTATTGGGGTGTGGGGCTTACTTTTTAAAGTTAGGTGCCTGACATGTTTTTCCTTGCCAAAGATCTTTGACCACGTTAGGAAAGGGAGAAGTCAGAATTTACTGTCAGGAGGAGTAAGTGGGAAGGAAGAGAATGCTGCTCCTTCTGGACATAGGGGCTCAAGGACATGCGTATTGGGGTGGTTCGTGCTGTGGACAGACATGGTGTACCCATCTTGCCTCGAGGTGGGTTGGTGAAGTCATGTCCCTGGACTGTCACTAACAATGGCTGACAGTAATGTCTCCCGGGATGCACTGTGTGGTGTCTTTTGTATCTTTTGGTCTCAGTTAGCTCGAGGCCCCCAGCTGCTACGTCCAGGTAGCAGCTTCTTAGCTTGAACGACTTTCTGATGACTGCGGATCTGAGGCTTCTCCATTAACTGTATCCATTACAGATGATTGCCATTAAGTCCTTTTTTGAGACACGATTCCGTGACGATGGCCAACTTGGATCTTCCTCATTATCCTCCTATTACTGTGGGAGACAGGGGCACCTCCTGAATAACGCTTTTGATAAGTTTTAAATTCTGTCATCTTAATAGAAATTGTAGAAAGGAGTTGTAATGTGGATCTCTTTGTGTGCTTCCCATGCCGATTCTGTTATTTCACACTGTACATTCCACTAGAGGGAAGAACAGTCCTGGCAGCTCTATAGTTGCTTGAAGTTGGGTCCTTAAGTGCCCTGAACTTATGGCTAGGGATTTTCACAGCTAATATCTCTCTGATCTAGAATAATTTTATCTAAGCTGAGTTTCTTGGTGATCTCTTTGCTCATGGAACACACCAGCGAGGCGTTTGTGACTTGGTCTAGGTGAAGGTTTAGAAACCTCCATCTCCTAAAAAGCTCTTGTTGGTTCTAGCCTTTGGTCTTTCTAGGGCTTACGTTGTGCCGCCCTGAGCAGCCTCTTTGGTAAGGTTCACTGAGGAGCTGAAGTAAGGCTTCCTTTCTTTCTGTCTATACGTAATTCCTGTCAGCAGGTGGAGGTCTGACTTGAAACAGTTTAGAAAATCACCAGAAGGTGGTCTTTTTTGTGGTAACCCCTCATTTATTTGCCCTGGGAAAATCCCTTCAGTCTGGGATGCTGAACGAATGAGTATGGGTTATGAGGAAGGAAGTGCAGCCACTTCCTGAGGAAGCAGGGTCAGCACCCAGCCAGAGGGGCAGCGTCCAGAGGACCAGCGCTCCACGGCAGGCACTCCATGTAGTGTCAGCCCTCAGAGCCTGCAGCCGCGAGTGTGTGGTCTTCATGTACTTGGCGAACACATGGGGCAGGAAAGGGGGAGATGTTCTGTTGTCACAGTGCCTGGCATTCAGAAGGCAGAATAAAGTGCCGTTTAATGCCTTCCTTTGCTCGATACTGTATTGGCTCCCTGGAGTCAGGGCCTCTTTCTGAGAAGGCATATGGAGCTAGTTCCTGACTTAAGACCTTCAGCTTAAAGTTTTGCAGCTTGAGGATGTTGTGAAATTCCCCATACCCATGCAACTGCTTTTCACTTTCAGTGTAGTATTCAAGAAATTACATGGGCCAGTCAGTACTTTATTATTGATAAAGCTTTGTGTTAGATACTTTGGCCAAACTATAGGGTGACAAAAGTGTTCTGAGCACTTTTTTTAGGTAGCCCGCACTAAGCTGTGATGTTCAGTGGGTTAGGTGTATTAAATTTGCACTTACAGGATTTTCAGTTGAACCTTACTTAGGCGTTTATTAGCGTGGAACCTGTAGGTCCCTTAGAGACTGGTAAACAATCCAAGGTAGGCAGACATGTGCTTTAAGACTTTAGACCAGGAAGGGAGCACTGTAGAACAGAGCAGTGGGGAATGCGGTCTGAAGCAGAGGAGACTGGAAGTTGGGCTTAGAGAACAGGCTGGCTTGGAATTGTGTATGTACTGTGGAGGAGGGAGCCAACTGGGTGCAAAGTGCAGCTTAGTGTACTTGGGGAGCCGCCTGCAAGCAGGTCAGGGCTGTGGAGATGATTAGACACTGGCAGGTGTGTAGAATGCAGTGGGGCAGAGGGCTCGTGTTATATAGCAAAGCAAGGCGAAGAGTGAGCCTAATCACGTGGGCATTTCGGTGGCTCTGTGTGGTGAGGGATGTGTGCACCGGGGACCCAGCTGCCTGGATCAGGGGCTCAGATCTGAGTCAGCCCTCAGTGTCACCTGGGGAGCTAGCTCCTAATGAACAGACTGCCTGTCTCACCTACAAGCTTGATTCAGTAGGTCTCTACAGAGATAAGGGTGCTGATGTTTCTGAGTTAGGGATGACACTTTGACCACTAGTGGATTAGAATTGAGAGACTGGCAAACCGTTTTTGCCCAAGACCGGATGGTTAATATTTTGGGCATTGTGGACTACATAGTATCTTGGGTACGTTTTCTTCTTAGTTGCTTTCCTTTGAGCATGTATAGAGCTTTCTTGGTCTTATGCACAGGCCAGTAGGAGAGCGGAATGACGAGAGAAGGTGGACGTGCTGTACTGACCTGGGAGTCATCCTTGGTTGTCAGTTCTCTGCTACACAGCTGCTGACCTTTGCCAAGTAATCTCCCTGCATCTTTATGGCCTCATTGTTTTTTCTCTTCAAGGAGGATAGTAATGCTTAAAACTCTTTTGAGGATTTGGTGAGCTAAGGCACAAAAAGCATTTACCCCAATGCCTTGAACATAGTTCCTTTATTATTATTAGTACTAGAGATACCAACTCTGATTACTCTTCTGTAGGTGAGGGGAAGGTGGGATACTGGCCTTGCTCGTTTCTTTTCTTTCTTTCCCCTAATTTTAAAGAGAGAAAAGAATAAAAATGATACAGTTTCAAAACATAATGATAGGAAATTAAAAATGATGAATATATTGCATATTATTGTCTTGAGAGTAGTTGCTCAGACTACTAGGTTGCCCTGATCTCTTGAAAGCTAATTGCTGTAAGATTTTACTCATTCCCTTTTTATTTTTTTTTATTTTAGGGAAGAGTCTCACTAGGGTGATTTTAGGATGTTCAGGGTCTCACTACTAGATCAGACTCGTAGTGATCTGCCTGTTTACAGCCTTCCAAGAGCTGGGATTACAGGCGCACGCTGCCACGCCCAGTCTCAGTTGCCATCTCAGTGTACTCTGGGGATGGGCCTGCATGGCAGGCGTGGGGAATCAAACCCTCCGCCCCTGAGCTTGCTTGTAGGTGCTTTAATCTGATGAGCTATTTGGCCGGTCCTCATTCTCCTCTTAGACTCTATGCAAAGCAGCTTTTGAATTAAGACATGTACACTCTGAAATATACCCAAAGTTAGTCCCTTGTAGGGGACCATTGCTGAGTCTGTTTGTAAGTGGCACTTTCGTCAGTGGTGGGATCCTGGGCCCAGGATCTGGGTTGAAGGGGCAGGTAGCTACACACACGAGTAATATCGACCCAGCCTGTGCTGCTAATCAAGGGCAATCTGGTGCCTTTTGACTTTTCACTCTACCTCATGGTGAGAGTGAAAGTGAGAACCACAGACAAGCAGACAGCCAGGTGCTTCAGATTTCCTGTGCTTCAGTGTGCAGGTGGGCAGAAAGGGGTAGGTTTTGCTCGAGACAGCTGGAACAAGGGGCTCCGGATGAACTTCAGGGGTGCAGTGTGTGCTTAGCATGCTCCCCAGCCCCACAAAGCAAGGCAAAGACAAAACAGTGAACACAAAGACTATTGATGGCAACTGGAGCATTGCTCTGTGCTGGTGCAGTAGGAGAAGATACCTGGTGGCCCTGGACAGACATCTCATCTCTGAACACTGATAATGAAAGCTGGCTGTGCTCGAAGAGTTGGGGGACCTCTTCCCCTTTCGCGGCCTCCTGCTCCTGAAGGGTAGCCACTTTCCTGCTCACCTCTGCAGCTGCCGCTAGTCCTCGCCACAGGCGCATAATAATGACTCAAGCTCGAGTTACAGAAGCACAAAGTGCCCAATGATGATGTGACTCCACCCTTCCCTGTGGTTTTTGCTGACCCACAGTGAAATATCTTTCCGTCTTCTTCCCCACCTTGCAAAACAAGCTTCCTGTTTTGAACTTGGTCCAGCTGGGAGCAGCCATACTACACCTGTCAATACACTGGGATGTACATTTCCCCTCTGTATTTGCACAGTTTCTTGTCATCTGGCCAGACTTCCTCTCTCAGCTTACGGATCCTGAGTCATAACCTGAGAGACGAACCAGCAAAGTAGGGGAAAAAAGGAAGCTGATATTTGATGTAGAGTTAGACATGTGAAATCATGGCTTCTAGTTGAAGTTGCCGTATTTTTCCATAACTGACTACTTTCCTAACTTCTGCCCCTCCTCTTTTGCAGCAGAATGGACGCAAGGAAAGGAAATCAGCTGACGCAGGAGCCGGAGTGAGACCCACACAGATGTAGCCTGCACCATGAATTTGAGTCTACTTTCCAGGCATTGAGAGGCAAGGGCAGGCGAAGTTGCTGGAGAGCAATGGCCCTCTTCACTCCCTGGAAGTTGTCTTCTCAGAAGCTGGGATTTTTCCTGGTGACTTTTGGTTTCATTTGGGGGATGATGCTTCTGCATTTTACCATCCAGCAGAGAACTCAGCCTGAAAGCAGCTCCATGCTACGGGAGCAGATCTTGGACCTCAGCAAAAGGTATATCAAGGCACTGGCAGAAGAAAACAGGAATGTGGTGGACGGGCCATATGCTGGTGTCATGACAGCTTATGGTAAGTGCTAGGACATGGGGAGATACCTTTTCATTGGATGTGACTTAGCCTTGGCTTTGAAAGGACCTGGTGGCTCCCAGCCTAGGACTTGCCCTGGATTAAGTGTCCCTTACCCCTGTCTTCATGGGCAGTGAGTTGTACACAAAGGGACGCTCATGGAAAGGTAAAGCTTTGCCCTATGCAGGATTCTGAGGTCTTGTGAACACAGACACTTAGACTTTGTGCTGGGCACAGTGGTCAGGTCAGTTAGCATTTCCTCGGCTGTCCTTGCAGCTGCCTCTTCCTCCCTCAACACAGTTCTGAACTCCTTGGCCGCACGTGTGAGTGTTCAGGAGACTGCAGGAAAACATTGTCATTGTGTTTGTTTAAACAGAAGTTAATTAAGGACGGTGGGGGTGAGTGAAGAAGGTGGGAGAGAATGTTTTTGAGGCCACTGGTCAGTTCAGACCTCTCCAGCCTCGGCAGGAGGTGTGGGAGCGTATATCCCAACTGATAGTTATAAACTTCAGCTCCTTCAGATTTGATTGTTTCTGTTTCTTGCTCTTGTCTCCAGTTGCTCTCACTTTGAAAGAAAACTTTCTGTACTTTTTACTATTTTTCGGTGCCCTAAGACTTTTTGAAATGATACAGAGTATGAGAAAAATACAAAATATGTCTTATTTTTCTTTCAGTAAAATTTAGGCTTATTGTAGAAAAAGTTGGAAGCTATAAACAAAAAAAGGAGAAAAATCACACATAAGTCTACTACTTTAGGCTGTATCCACAAATAACATTTTAGTGTGTCTTTCTGGTATTTTATACACACGCACACACACAGAGATATACACAAGAATTTATTCATACAGATACTGTGTGAAACGAAACAAAAGTTGCAAATGAAATATGGATCATACTATATTTTGGAGAACTCATATCTCAGCTGACCTGAAGTCTCTTAATATCCTGAGTAGACCTGAGGTGTACAGAGTGATCTGTTGTTGTTCAGTGGCGGTCAAGTCACTGGAGCAAGACCTTGGTGGCCCCAATTTGGGGTTTGGCATATTCACGAGGTATCACAGCAGAGTGGTGTTCCGCCTCATGACCCTGCGAGGGACCACGTTTTCACCTATGTAGAGTCTAAATGATGATTCCTGGAAAAGTGCAGGGCCAGGTTATTTGGTCCAGAGAGTTCAGGCTCAGGAAATCCTATTCAATTATACGCATTTTTCTTTTTTGAAAAGTATCTAAGAAACATGATGACATGTTTCTTTTCTTTTTTTTTTTTTTTAATTGACAGTACTGGAAATTGGATCCAGGTCTTTAGTAGTGAGCTACATGTCTGACCCTTTTTATTTTTATTTTTATTTTTATTTTGAGACCAGGTTTTACCAAGTTGCCCAAAGTGGTCTCAGACCTGTGATCCTCTTGCCGCAGCCTCCAAGTAGTAGGGATTTCTAGGCATGGTCACTACCTGGCTGCATGCTAGTTATTTGATAGGAGATATCTTCTTTTGAGTGGCCTGCAGAGATATTACCTTTTAGTGCTTACTGTTGGAGTGATCTTGCTTCTTTTAATGTATTCCCTTGAAATTTGTCAGTGTGTGTCAGTACTGACTTTTATACTCACAGATAAAATGCTTACTGTTTGATGTGATAGATTAGAACAGATTCCATTTGAGAGCCCGTGCTGAAAAACAAGAAGGTAGTTTTTCAGAGGGTGGCTTTAAAAGTTCCCCACTGACTTACATCTTCTGTAATGTTTCCAGAGTAGAAATAACCAGCAAGTGCTACAAAAAAAGAATACAGCAGATTGTCACCCTTGGTGTTGCCAGCGTTCATGATGGAACAGGTGCCACGTGCTTTTTGAAAGTTTCTGGTTTTGTGTATTTCTTAGAGTACTTTTGGAGGAGAAAGAAAATAGCTCAGTAGTAATTTCTTCTGTCCATTTCAGTCAGCCCTTTTCCATGGACAGGAAGAAACCACACTAGTGGCGCATTTATAGACCTGTTTTGCTAGTTGTTTGGGCTTTTTTTATGTCTTGTGTACTGCTGAACATCTCCGGGAAGACTTCCTTCACATTCATTCGAAAGGACAAAGGTCTGGTTTTAGATTTTCAGACGCACAAAGTTTTTTGGTTTTGTTTTTTTTTTTTAATGTAACCCAAACCCCCACAGTAGCCTGCTAGAATTTCACCAGTTTTGTATGCTTGTAGTGAAGGAACTTTGCATCTCAAAGAAACCACAGGAATTCGTTCCACCTTTTTTCTTTTATAGAGAAACCATAGTACATCAGTTAATCTTTTTTTTTTCTTCTTCTTCTTCTTCTCAAAAACAAGCAGGCTTAATCAGCAAGTCTAACTCACGCTGCTAGTGTTGTCTTTCACCACATCAGCCTAATGGATCAATCAGAGTGGTGTTTGGAGCTGGTTTCTAGACTTTAATTGGGCTGTGTATATGTGCCAGAGTTATTTGGGATCGTCATGTGGTGAGGTTCCACAAAGAGTTGCTCACCTGGTACTATTTGATATTTTTGGGGTAGGGAGGTCTTCACCATGGAGGGTTGTTCATCCAAGATGAGATTTTACCGCTGGATGCCAGAAGCCTAGTTTTGACGACCAGAACATCTCTGAACAGGAGGGCATGATTGCTCCATCTGTCTCTGCTACCTTGGAGAAACATTGCGTTCAGCACAGCAGCAAGAAACACTAACACCATCTTCTTAAGGATGGTCCAAAGCCGATAACTAGTTTTCATCATTTCAAATTTGACGGCATGCTCTTCTCCTTGCCTCCTATTTCTGGGTACCAGTGATTTGGACTGAGCAAGTGGGAATGCTTTAAGGATTGGCGTGGTCCAAGGCCAGTCATGGGAAGCTGGGCGTCCAGTCTGATGACATATACATCCCTGGTCTTTGTCAGTGTTGGTAGGTAACATCGACGGGCAGCTGACAGTTAATGTCAGATAAGATGCGGGATGCTTGGTGGCTCAGCTGCAATGCAGAGCAGTGGTGAGGCTGCATGGGCCATCAGTTTGTCGTCTTGTCTTCCACGGACAGGCTGTGAAGACTTGATCTGTCTGGCCAGGATCCAGCCTGGTTTGAATGGATCTTGTAAAGAGCTGCCCCACTCGCCAAAAGGAAATCTCTCTGTCCCATCCCCATGTTGGTATAATCAGAGGTGCTCAGCATACTGTAAATGGATCCTCCGTGTCTGGGACAGGTGTTTGAAGAGTTATAGTTGCTGATTTTTGGATGCTTACTCATAGAATAAAGTTTCTGACTTCATATTGTAGAGCAGTGGTGTTCAGCAAAGTGTGCTGTATGGGCTAAGGTAAGATTGTTGTTTATCTGTGTAAGTAAAGTTTCACTGGAACACAGCCATTCTGATTTGGTTATGATGTAGGCAATGACAGAAACACACTGTTGCTAGTATTTTGTTTCAACAAGGCAACTAAAACATTCTAAATCCATCATTCAGCCGTCACCTTAGGGCATTCTACATACCATATACTCATGTTCCTCACCAGCCCAGCAATTCCTTGGGACTCCAGCGGTCTGTGCTAGAGCTGGCCAGCTATAGCCTTTGGGCAGAATCTTCCTTAAGAGCTTTTTTTTTTTTTAATATAAAAACAAACAAAAAACTGATATGTCCTAGAGACCACAAAACTTAAAATACTTACTATCCTGGCCTTTACAAAAAATATTTGTTAATTCCTGACCTCGTTTCCTAGTGTCACTTACTATCTATTGGTGTTTTCTTAGTATTCCAAGTCTCTTTTCTTTGTGTTTGCATTCATTCAAGATGTTTTTGTGAGAGCCAGCCAGATAGCTCAGCACACTAACGTGCCTACTTAGGCACATGGACTGGGGTTCGATCCTGGCGTGCCTTGCCAACCCTACCCCCAGGGTGCACTGAGACAGTAATTGAGACTGGGCGTGGTGACGCCCACCTGTAATCCCAATGCTTGGGAGGCTGAAAACAGAAAGGATCACTATGAGTCTGACCTGTGTAGTGAGACCCTGTAGACCCTGTACTAAATACATTTTAAAAAAAAAAGATATTGTAGTGAGTTACATACCTCAAATATAGCATTGCTTTTTAAAAAAAAAATTTGTAGTCATTTTTTTATCTATTTATTTATTTGGTAGAATCTCGTTATGGAGCATGGACTTGTAGTGATCCTTCTGTCTCAGCCTCCCCAGTGCTGGGATTACAGGTGTGCGTCACCACACCTGGTTTCGGTGGCTAGCACCACATGCCCGGATTTCGGGGCTTGGCACTGCTTTCAGTACCCGGGACTGAACCTGAGTCCTTGTGCTTGCCAGGCAGGCACTTAGACCCCTGAGCTATCTCCCCTAAATACAGCATTTCTTTATCCTGTGGAAATACTGCTTCTGAGTTGGAGGGTGGGAGTTGGAGTGGCGCATGTGTATAGGCTAAGTGTATGCTAAGACCATGTGTACGTAGTCTGTGCCATAGAGGTGCACACTTTTTTTTTGATGGTGATGGTGGCCATGGTCCTGGTATTGGAGTTTGAAATCAAAGTCTTCCCACTGAGGTATATCCCCAGCCTGCTTTTAATTTTTATTTTGAGCCAACGTCTTGCTCATTCACTCTGGCTGCGCTTGCACATACAGTCATCCTACCTCAGCCTCTGAGAGTGGAGGGATTATAGGCATGTGTTGTCAGCCTTGACTCCTGGCTGCTTTTCAGGTGTCCAGGAACTGTGAAGCTGGTCCGAGGTGCCGACGTTGAGGTGCCTGGAGGTGCTGGCTGTGAGTTGTTAGCTGAACAAATATTCAAAGGAAGATACAGACAGCCCCATCTTGAATTGTTCTACTTTCGGACCTTGCAGGAGTATGTGCGTTTCACTTTCAGTGTAGTATTCACACTAAGGAGGTGTTCCTCGCTTCATTATACGATGAGCCTCAACCGATGATTTTGCCTATGTTAATACAAGTCTTCGGAGTTGGTAGGTGAGGCTGAGCCATGCTGTTCCGTATCTTAGATGCATTAAGTGCATT